TTTTTTTTTTTTTTTTTTCTTTTTTTGTTGTATTAGATGATAGGTTATAGGCATTTTTCATTTTTCAAATCTCTTCCCAACTAATAAAAGATTTATATCTAAACTTGATATAAAGTTTAATTTCAACTAATTAATTAATTCTCCTTGGTACTTCTTTTCTCTTTTCTTTAATTTCTTACGAAAACAGATGCTAACCAACTGAGAAAGAGAAAGATAAAACATAAGAAAAGTTAGGTAATGTACACGTTTGGTCGCTTACCTTTATCATAATTTTTAATTTAGTCATCGTATTTTTAATTTGTAAATTTAGTCACTGATCACCTTTTCATTAACTTTCAATTAAGTCATTTTTTTTTAATCTTAATTCTCAGTCATAGCTATCTCACCATTTACTCTCACCGAGCATTAATTAAGATAGTCTACTATTTCTTGTAACTATTTCCCTTTCTGCTCAATTTTATATTTGTAATAATACTCATGTTATGCAATTCGAACCTAAAACATCTTAATTTTATAGAAGATTATCAATGAACTGAGTAGCCCCTATTTTTTATTATTATTATTTTTTGTATATTGTAGTAAATAAATAATAAATAAAATTTATTTTATCAAATAAAACTACTTAACAAAAATTATCATATGAAAAAAAATTTCAATTTTTATTTATATTCTATTAGATGTGTGTAAAAAAGAAAACTAATTTTAGACAAGGTTAGTAATATTTTAACTTAGTTTAAAAAAATATTACTACATAATTTATTTTCATTTAGCATTGCACGCCATTCCTTAACTATGAATAGGAGTCCAATTTAATTAATCTTTTTCTTTCTTTTATTTAGCATATCAAACTAATGCTGGCCTATAGTTGTAGTTTTAGGTCTTTTGATTGTTTAATACTTTAAAAATATATAATATTATATAATATTTATTTTAATTAATATTTTATATATTTTTAAAATAATGAAAAAAATATATATTAAAGCACTAAAAAATATTGTGAAACTAAACTTTCTCTTATTAATTGTATGATCCCTTTACTAAGATGATTAAGTTTGTACCATCTTATATATCAAAACATACATTTTCTCACCCTGCCAACAATTTCATATATATTTCTGCAGGGACTCGCAAATGGACATCGCAAATTCAATCATTGGTTTTGTGAAGGATTTTGGTCCTACAGTTCGAAAATATGTCAAGTATCAGATACATCACAACACTTCTGTGAGTGAATTCCAAAAAATGCAAAAGCGACTGAAGGACCGACAAGATGTCATTGAGGCAAACTTGAAGACACAGCTTAAGCAGCCCGGAAAGATTACTAATAAGGAAGTTGAAACTTGGCTAGAGGAAGCGCGCCAAGAAATTGTCGAAGAGATGATTGAAGATCTGATCTGCAAAGGAGGCTGTTTCACATATATTTGCTCATCAAGAAAGCTCGATAAAAAGACTTAAGCACTAAATGAAGGGATATTTAAGCAAGGGGAGAAATACACTAATGATGGTGTAAGTTTGGTCATAGATGATCACTCAATCCAATATTGTGCGAGTGTATTTGAAGATAAGCAAAAGGAGGTGAAGCACCAAAGGGAAAAAATTGAGGCAAATTTGAAGACTCAGCTTATGCAACCTGGAAAGATTGCCTGGAAGGAAGTTGAAGACTGGCAGGAGAAAGCAAGCCAACAAATTGCCATGAAGGTTGAAGTTCTAATCAGCCAAGGGGAATGTTCCTCATCAACCAACATTGAGCAAAAGATTGAAGAACTGAAGCGAATACTTGAGAAAGGAAAAGAATTCACTAATGATGGTGTGAGTTTGGTCATAGATGGTCACTCAAAAAAAGGAGTTACACTGCTTCTTGAAAAATGCATTGCACGGGATGATGTACAAGAAGAAATTCTGCAACTGTTAAGGGGAGACAAGGTTACAAGAATTGCAGTTTCTGGAATGGGTGGCGTGGGCAAGACAACAATCATGAAGCAAGTCCATAACCAACCATTGAAAGAACCCAAATTTGACAAAGTTATTTGGGTTAAAAATCAAAGGACTTTGATATGGTTGTCCAGCGAAAAAAACAGTTTGATATTCTCAGGTTTTAGAGGAGCATTGCAACAAAATTGGGATTAGATTTGAAGAATGCAAATCAAGATGCAACAGAGCTTGCAGGATTGATATTAGATACATTGCAACAGTATAGTTGTGTGTCAATTCTGGATGATGTATGGGAGCCTTTTTCTCTAGAAGATGTTGGAATCCCTGATCTAGTTGGAAATAATGGTTGCAATTTAGTGCTCACAATATGGTTACAACAAAAGGTTGCTCGTGCAATGGAGTGTGAGGTGATCCATGTGAAGCCTCTTCCAGATGATGAAGCATTAGAATTATTCTTAGACAGAGTTGGAAGTGAGGTGTAGTCCTATCCTAGATACAAAAGTGATATAGAGCCATTTTTGAACAAATTTTGAAGAAATGTAATGGTCTACCTCTTGCTATTGGGGTAGTGGCAAAGACCATGAGAGGGAAATTCGATCCTTACTCATGGGAGACTGCAGATAAAGAATTGAGCAAATCTGAAGAAATTGTTGATTGTTTGAAATTCGGTTATGATCACTTAGAAGAACAATACAAGAAATGTTTCTTATATTGTGCATTGTATCCTGAGGATCATGAAATCTTAAAAGAGGAGTTGATTGAGTTTTGGATTGAGGAGGGATTTATAATAAGAAGAAAGGGGATCTCGGCACTTAATGATTTGTGAGGGCCATGTTATTTTTGAGAAGTTGATAGACAATTGCATGTTAGAATTGGTTAAAAATAAATACAAAAGAAGTTCATTGCTTGTGCATGAATTGGTTAAAAGAAAATACAAAGCTTGTGTGAGTATGCATGATCTTCTCCGAGAAATGGCATTGAATATCAATCTTCAATTCATGGTGAAAGCTGGCATGGCCTTGGAAGAGCTACCAGAGGAGCATGAATGGAGAGAAGATATTTTGAAGGTTTCTTTAATGAATAATAACATAACAGAAATTCCTTCAAGCATGTTGTCTCCTAAGTGTCCAATGCTCAACCTTCTTGTTGTCCAATAACAATATTACAACAATTTCAGAAGCTTTTTTTGGTCAGATGCTTTGGCTGAAGATCCTTGATCTTTCCAACAATGAGTACTTGGCTAGGCTGTCGAGTTCTGTTTCCAAATTGGAGAATCTTATTACACTCCTACTGGAGAATTGTAAGTCCTTAAAAGAGGTACTATCTTTATCCAACCTTGGAGGCTTAAAAAGGTTAAACCTTTTTGGGACATTAATTGAAGAACTACCCCAAGGCCTCAACATGTTGACCAATGTAAAATATCTTTGGCTTGGTGGTAGATTATCTGAAATACCTGATGGACTGCTGCGAAATCTCTTCAAACTTCAGTAATTAGGAGTAGATTGGAGAATACCATTGAAATGGGAGGAGATTGGAAGATTGAGGAAGTTGGAATCTCTTGATGGTCGATTCCTTACAATGGATGATATGAGCCTAGGAAAAAAAATGGGAGAAAAAAACAGAGGAAAACCGCAAAGAACATTTGAGGAGGGGGGGGGGGTGGGCGAAAGGAGGAAGAAGGAAGGTTGCATGCAACAAGGCAGACCTTATATAGATCGTTTTCGGTCCATATAGGTCTGATGAGTGGACCCTAGCGTCTAATCAGATCAAAGATTCATTAGGGCTTTTTTTCGAACTGATTTTGGTCTGTACATTATTTACTATTTGGACCGAAATTGGTCCAAATATTAATAGAATCTAAAACACTATTGTACTTCGTTGGGGAAATTATCTAAACTGATTTTGGTCTGTATAATGTTTACTATTTGGAACATTATTGGTCCTAATATTAAAAGAAGGCAAAAATATGACATAAGGACCCGAACTTACACAAAATTCGCAATTTTGGACCCGAACTTCAATTGCACTCAATTAAGGTTCCGAACTCCACAAAATTCTCAAATAAGGTCCCAATTGGA